TGACTTCAATGAGGCCTAATTTATACTCTTCTTTGGCCCACTGTGAGTCCAACTCTGCTACTTCTAGTACTGCTTCTAAGTATTTACTATACTGCAGTCTGCAACCCAGACATCCCACAGACTTTTCTATATTGTTACAAATTCTGTAATCCACAATGAAGATTACCACCATTAATGTGCCTAAGACTATGCCAATACCACATCTAAATTGGTTTTTTGGAGGGTTTTTCTAGTAATTAATGAGAAAAGAAGTTGGTCGCCTTCTAGTTTAGATCATTGGAGAGCTAAAATTTGCAAGTTAGTATTTTGACTTTTTGGTGTGTTCATAATGACAAAGAAGATAGTTCCTTGTTCTGAGGATGATTCCTTCTATTTAAGATCTTTTCCACCCTGATATACAATTTCCAAGAAGTGGATTTGTTTGTGAGCCTCAAGCCATTCCAGACTAATGTATTCTGCGCATGCAGGCTCTTTTTTAGCTGTTAACAATTAATTATCTCAACCATAGGTAGCAAACCAATCATAACCATTAAGCTATTATATTATCTATCATAATTCTTATTCTCATTTTGTAGACATTTCTGATAGCTTAAGTTAGACTCTCTTGGACTATATGTTCTTGTTATATGCTTTTTTTGAAAGTATTTTTCTCACCAGATAGATACTGTACACAATATGTCCATTCTGTAAATTCACAGCAGTGTATCCCATTAAAAAGAGACAACATCAGCGATGAGGAACTGATGGAATTAGAGATATGAGGTGGGAAAAACAGCAGAATAGTCCTTATAATGCTCTGTGTAAACGCTTCTGTCTATCTGGCTGTCAAGTTGGCACTGAAAAGTCAGTATTATCTGCAACAGTTAGATCTGTAATTAAAACACACCATTGGCCATGATTAACTGGCCTAAATGTGGAAATGACCTGGTCATATGAATACTAATTCAGGAGTTAGCTTATTTATCCATACCATAGTAAAAGCCTTCAATTTCTTTTCAAAATGACATCAGCAATTGAACTGCTAAATCCTGTGGTGATCAGTGTAAATGACATTCTTAAATGTGTGCTTTTTTGAAAATATAATTCTCCTGAGTTACTCAGACATTTTAAATCATTTCACTTGTAGTGTCTTCGGTAGAAGTGTATTAAAAAACAAAAGTCAAAATATTTTGAAATTACAAAATCTCACAGTTTTACTCAGTACAGATATGAATTTTGTTTGCATGATAAAATCTAAAAAAAAGGAACAGGAATATATGAATAATAATGATATGCAGCTGCTCTGCTAAAGGTGTTTATGAAATTGTTTTGATCTGTGCTTTATTAGACTGTTGAATTTTCTAAGTGTTCAGGTTCATAGAACATAATTATACCTTAGCTTATACTATGTACCGTCATTCAGGAACATTAATAATTTGTTGATAAGTTCTCTTCTATCTTAGAAATCAGTAAGCTCTCTGAAACTCTAATTATCTTAATAATGTTCTTGCTTCATCTTTAATTATGATATGTAGGTTTTCTTTGTTCTTAGTAATGGTTTGGTGTCAACATAGTGTTTTTATCTCTTTCTTCCCAAACTAGCAAAGCTCTGAATGATTGAAGCCTATAGGTGTAGTTAATACACTTTAAGTTAGCACAGGCTTTATCCTTTAGAGAAAACACATACAGCTGTGTGACAAAGTTATCTTATTCCATAGCCAGATGGTCCATACAGCATAGCATTAGTGGCAGTTACAAACTCAAATGAAAAGATCTTTTCTTCATGCCAGAACCACCCCCTCCCCCAATCCCACCCCAAACCTTAGGTGTCTAGTCAATGACATCCCAAATCTGGAAGGTGGTACAGCTCATGTGCTGAGCACTTAGAGGTTCCATGGACTCCTGCAGAAGTGGAAGGTCCACAACAAACACCTAACATCTCTGCGACTTTCATCACCAATGGATTCTGTTTATCTTTTTTCCTTACAACTGTGAAAACAGAAGGTGGAATTACTGTGAAGGATTCTTTTCTGGTGGAAAAAGTGTGTAAAGCATGGTTTTATAATTTTAAAAAGCGTAGATAAATGGGACATAAGTCTTGAAGTTCAATTAGAGAGAAAAAATAATTTTAGACTAATTTATTTCTGGGTTTGTGTTTTGTTTGTTTTTTATTTCTTTTTTCTTTTCTTTTTTTTTTTTCCCCAAAATGAAGCGTTTGAGTGTCCATGTTCTTCTGAATTACTCCTAACACCAGCTAAACTCCAGTGTTTGTTAATAGGCTGACAGTGGGAACTGACATCTAGATGTGCAAGTGGATGCTTCATAAAGATGGATTTTAGCTTCTAGTTTCCTGAAGGTTAGTGTGGCCAGTGAAATAAGATTAATCTAAAGCAGTTTCTTTAGTTTATTTAGAAGAGATTAGAAAGAGTGACTCACAGAGTTCAAATACATAAAAGGCTGCTGCAGAGGGGAAACGAATATCAGTTCCCCTCACCCATAGCAGGTAAAATGAGAAGTTACAGTCTTAAATTATAGTAAGGGAGATTAAACTCTAAGACAAACTTCAGAGCAGTAGGATAGTAAAGCACTGTAACAGAGAGGGAAGTAGTCTTCCAGCTGTTTTTCTGTGGTTACCATGAGAAGTTACCATGGCTTTCATTTTGCTGCAGGACAAGAAAGTGTCCTCACAAGCTTACCAAGCAATTTTGTGTGCCACTAGGACCTGAAACAGACCTTCATGAAAAGCCCTGCTCTATGTCTGCATACCAAATTCATGCTGAGAAGGTGGCAAGAAGCTGGCATCATTTTAGACAACAAAGACATGCTGCTCAGAATTATTTTTTCCCCCAAACATTAATTTTAATATCACTAACTTGAGAAGATGAATCTCAAAATGACCCCATTCTTAGATATACTCATTGTAAATATGAGTTCAAAGGGGCTCTACACACTGCATTGAAATAACTCACTTTGGGTCAAACTTATTTGTTACTTCCATGGTCTTGTTTCCACATACTGCATTGCTGTTGCCAACATTCCAGCTCTAGCTGGCCTTTCAGAGCTATCTTCCAATAACGGAAGGAGAAGCAGACTTCCTGCGCAAAGCAACACATAAACTAAATTATTTGTGAGATGACCCAAATCTAGCACAAACTTAGCATCCGCAAGTTCACCCTTGAAGCTGAAAAGTGCAAGAAGTCAGGAGTATGTAAAGTTGTATGTCGGTGCTGATTATAGCTATTCATTTACACTGGAAATAAGAGCATCTTCCTATCTATTAAACACAATTTTGTTCTTTTTGTGGATGGCTCTCATATAATAGAGATAGTGACAGTAAAAGAGATTAGGCTGGGTCTTAATCCTGTCTGTCCTGTATCTCCCTGTTGTGAGCAGCTCACAAACATTGTTGAGATTGTGTCTGAACTGCACTGTAGGAAAGTAAACCTGCTTAAATTAGAAATATCTGAATTCATAAACTAAAGATTTCCCCTGTCTGTGCCAGTTTGATCTTTACACTGAGACAATGTTCATACATGTTCAGTGTTGATAAAATGAACTACAGCAATGAATTCATCCATCTTGAGGTTCTTCACTGGGTCCATAAAAGAGGACTGCACCACCAACATGGTTAACCCGCTACAGAACTGACTCGGGTGGACTCTGCAAGCTAAACTTAAGGCTGAAAATTGCAGACTACACAGTTTGGTGTTAGGCTGTGTATAAACAGTGTGCATAGACAGATAAAAAGCCCAGAAGTGTTGCATGAGGCAGACAGACCCCACAACACATTATAAGGGGAGCGTGGGTGGAAAACGTTCATTAATGTAATGATTCAGAATCTGTGAACTGGGATGTGTTACATTTGAAAGAGGAGACTGAACCAATTTTTTTATTTGTTTATCTATTGATTTTTTTAAAGAACAGAAGATCAAATTTTTGGTGTCACAAGTACTTTTTTACTGGGGAGAATGAAGCTGCAGCAATACAATTTAACTGTGTCATGTAGATTGGCGATATATGTACCTTTCATTCTGCTGAATAGTTCCAGTCCTTAGATGAGAAGCTAAGACATTTTTAAACATGTATCAGTGCTCTCATTGCCTCAAAGGTCTTACACTGTGCTTTGTATAAGCTAGATTTTGAGAATGCTTAGAAATATTAAGATAACCACAGCTAATTGTTTATGAAAAATTGTCTTAAGAGGACAGCATGTTTCAGAGGGCTTTTTCAGCTGTTCTTAAGATATTAGCTTTAATCCATAAAGCTTTCAGTTATTTGGACCATGCCGTCTCCCTCTCGCTTCTACACAATTAAGAGCATAAATTATTGGCATTAAATCTGTCTTGATTTAAAAAGAAGATCCTCTTATCGGGGAGTTTCCTGTCAATGCAGACAGACCATGCTGTTTCACTGTCTCCTGGCCACTTGCTTTGCCTATAAATGTGTGATTTTGATATTCTTCTCAGAAAGCTGAATGTCTCCTCTCGCTCTATTTCATATTCTTTGAGAGACGATAACAATATAACGTAACTGTGTGAGAGCTATTGTGGATTTATTATTGTAGTTGGTGAATATTATTATGTACCCTGTGGCTAGTCAATTATATGTGGCATATATTGTAGATTTTATGTTTTGTCTGCTTTAAAAATTTCTTGAAGTGCCTAGAGCCAGGGTTAGGTGCTTAAGTTGTAACTTCAAATAAATAAATACATTAAATAAATAATTGAAGCAGGCAGTTTCAGATAATAAAGAGAACTGGCTCCTGGTTAGAAAACACTGTAAGTCTTAGAACAGCAGAATCTTTAATAAAGGAGATGGAATAAAAGCCCCAAAGAATTTCGTCTCTGAAGAAAACAAAAAAAACCCAACCAACCCAAAAAAACAAACAAAAACCCCGCCAAAACCAACACCCAAACCCTAACTAACAGGATTTATGCTTGGTGAATTAGAAGCTTCATTATATATGGTACAAAACTAATTAGTAGGGAGCATTTTCTTTACCTCTAATTTCTATTTAATAGCCACTGCACTTGTCATTGCAGGTATGGTTACAAAAGTATGGCTACCTTCCACCAACTGACCCCCGAATGTCGGTGTTGCGCTCTGCAGAAACCATGCAATCCGCTATAGCTGCCATGCAGCAGTTCTATGGCATTAATATGACAGGAAAAGTGGACAGGAACACAATTGAGTAAGTAACCAGTACTGAACTGCTCCTGACTTTTCTGTTTCAAGCAGGGTCAAATAGAACTGGAAAAGCTTTATAACAGATGAAGCAGGGTGATCCGGGTACCCAAATAATGTTGCAGCTTCAGATGGGGAGTTAAAATGTTTCTCTCTCTCCTTGCCTTTTTCTTTTTTTCATCTTCTGTATTTTATGGGAGCAGGTAGTCACCTGCCTAGCTGCTGTCTGCCTTTCGGCATGTGATTGTGAAGAAAATGTTTCAGGGTTAACTAAAAAAGGGCCAAAAGGTTATCAGTGTGGAAGTGGAGAAACCTATTCAAAATTGGAAAGAATTCATGAAATGTTTGACAGTGGAAAAAGTCTTTTCTTACGGGAAAATCTTTAGTGTAAATTTCCTTATCTTCACTGAAAAATAATTTTATCACACTCCACTGGAAATGGTTTCCAGTAACAAAAGACCAGGTGTGGTCATTTTCACATGCAATAAAATTAGATTAGTTTTGCATGCCCTTTGCAGTTCTGAAGTTGTGTTAAGGCCAACAGTGTCTGATTTTACTGACAGACTGAACACAGAGAAACTTTGTGAAACAGTGCTATTAAAAGACACTTCCAAACAGCTCTGTCCTATGCCAAATTTGAAAAACGTGCTAGAAAAATGCAAAACCCAAAAGAGTGTTAATTAAGAAAATGTATCTGAGATTAAAATTTGAAGTGGTTGTTGGATTCATTCCAGTTAAAATGCAATAAACTTTATCTTGTGATTTTAGAAAAAGTTACTTTGCTTGAAAAGCAAATAACGAGACAGTACCGTCACTACATATACAGCATTTACTTTATTAAAATATGTTTCTTCTACTTCTCTAAACTGCTTAGGGGTGCGGGG